TTTCACGCAAATTCTTCTGCTAGTTGGGGTTTAGTCCAAATCTGCATCCTTTCCTTCAAGGCTCAGGGGTCCAAGATTATCTTCTGTGTCTGTATTTATTGGTTTCCCTTTTCTTTGTTGAAGAGGGTCTGTGCAATCCTTCTGCCTAGTCCGCCATCTTGCCCCGCCTCACCACAAAACTCATTCTTAACATAAGACCAGAATGAGTTGCTGGTACTCAAACTTACGTATTTTTAAAAAGTACTTTTCCTCTTTATATCAATGAGTTCTGACCTAAAAAATTAGTTAAAACATTCCAAACTAATCTTGAGTATTTATAGTCAGATAAAAGTCTAAATTCTAATTAACATTAAAATGTTTTAAATTAAAGTTTCTAAATTCTAATAATGAGTTTGTGTTAATATGATGAAAGAAAACTCATGATTTTGGAAGTTGCAATTATAAAAAAGTTATTTAAATCATAGGTTCTTTTGTTTGCAAGGTATCAACTCTAACTCAAACAACCTCAAGTAACAAGGAGTTTATTTTAAGGATGTAAGAGCTTGGGAATTCACCACTCACCAATCCTAACCCACCAGGTCTCAAAAATAGGAACTGGAATAAGGTTCTAGAAATAATGATATTTTAGGAAATTCAGCAGCAAGAGTTTGTGGTGTCCTTCTCTCCCTTCCATCTCTTCTCTAACTCACAGCTGTCCCTATATGGAGTTTTTCTCCTTCCTATTCGAGTTTTTATGAGTCTAATTGCAGGCGCCATGTGCTTCATTACCTTTTAGCTTTAGTTCTATTGCCAGTTGTTTCATTCTCTTAGTTCAGATTCCTGATCAAGTAAGAATCTGATTGACAGAACTTATCGACACAGGTTACACTATAGATTGGTAGCCAATATATGGGCTGGCAGTCCATGGGTCAGATGCTTACTTCAGTCAGCTATGCTCCAGAAGAGAGGGAGGGTTAAAAAAAAGGGGGGGGCGGGTCACGTAGAGTTCCTCTTCCACATAAAGTATGGTATATATAACCTCTTTCAGAAAGTCTATGCTTAATTTCTATATGGGAAAGCATATGGACCGACATTTGTCCAAGAGGGAGAGGCACCATTAGAAAAGAATTAGCCAAATTGTTTGTGGGCAAAACCCATAACTAAAGATAGTTTTAACAAGTAAAAACCAAAACCAAACCCACTGCCATCGAGTCAATTCCAACTCATGTTGCTGTTGTTATGTGCCGTCGAGTCGGACCCGACTCATAGCGACCCCACCTTGGGTTTCTGAGGCAGTATCACTGCGGAGGTAGATTGCCCCATCTTCCTTCCGAGGAATGGCTGGTGGGTTTGAACCACCAGCCTTCTGGTTAGCAGTCAAGTGCTTTAGGCACTACACTACCAGAGCTTTCCAAGGTTGTAAATCTTTACAGAAGTAGATTGCGTCATTTTCTCATCTTCCTCCTGTGGAGTAGCTGGTGGGTTTCAACCACTGACCTTCAGGTTAGCAGCAAAATGCCTTACCCACTGCATCACCAGATGCTCCTTAGGAACCATGTAAAACACATTTCCTCACATTATCAGAGGCCTTTGTCCTTCACCAAAATGAAAAAGGAGGTGATGTCTTTGCCTTAAGAGGCACGTGCATACATATATTTAAAAAGAGGCAATTATTTTGGGGTAGTTTTATATTTTCCTAGTCTTTTATCTTTATTCCTATTTGTACTGCCATGTTTCCTTCAGAGGCTTGAATATGAGGGTATTTTTTGCTTAAAATCATGTCACAAATATCAGATTTTCTATTGCCCACACAAAAAGATTTCATTCATCCTTCACTGTCATTTCTGTGGCAGTACTAACAACATTATTAAAAAAAAAAAAAAAAAAATGGCAGCCAACTTCTTTGCCTCCCTCCACATTTGTGTACAATTTCTCTTTTGAGAAAAAAATCATTTTTGCTCTGGTTCTGACGATTTCCTGATTCTAGGTAGACATGGAATGCAGGGATTGCTTGTACCAGGAATATGATTATATGGCCACTCCTGATACCTTAAAGGAGCCCTGGTGGCACAGTGGTTAAGTGCTTGACTGCTAACTGAAAGGTTAGTGGTTCAAACCCACCAGCTGCTCCATGGGAAAAAGTTGTGGCAGTCTGCTTCCATAAAGATTAGTCTGGAAACCCTCTGAGGCAGATCAGCTCTGTTCTATAGAGTTGCTGTAAGTTGGAATTGATTCAGTGGCAACAGGTTTTTGTTTACTGATGCTTTTGGCTTTGTCTTTTGTGATATAGTCTACTAAATGGTTGATAAAATATGACTGGAGTAAGCATATAAAACAACATAGTATGTAATTAAGGGCAAGGAGAGGCTAGAGGGCAAAGCTCAGCATCTCCAAATGTTTTATTTAGGATGTGGATTCACCTACTTGTGACAGAGACCCAAAATAACAATGACTTAAATAAGATAGTTTATTTCTTTCATGTGAAAATCTGAGTGACTCTTCCATTCATTGAAGTCAGGGGCCCAGCCTTTGCCTATTGCTAGGCATTCCTAGAGTGTTGCAGGGTATAAGATGGCTTACCACCATATCCACATTCCAGCCAGACACACACACACACACACACCAAGAATAGAAAGAAGAGAGCAAGACTTTTTTTGCCTTCAGAGTACAATTTGGAAGTTGTATGCCTCTACTCATATTCCACTGGTTAGAATACATGACCAGAGCTAGCTGCCAGGAAGGCTAAAAAATGTAATGTTTAATCTGAGTAGCAATGTGTCCAGCTAAAATTTCTGTTACAAGAGAAAAAGAGGAGAATGAATATTGGGGGACAGGTTCAAGATTCTGCCATCCTAAATAGTACTGCCTAAACATTTTATTTTTCCTGTATTTATTTGTGAGATAAGGAGATTTTTACAAATTATACATAACTTAGGACCTCTGGTGGCATAGTGCCTAAGGCATTTATTTGATTGCCCAGAAGGCTGGCGGTTCAAACCCACCAGCCACTCCTTGGAAGGAAGATTGGGCAATCTACTTCCGTGGTGATACTGCCTCGGAAACCCAAGGAGGGGTTGCTGTGAATCAGATTCTACTCAATGGCAGTGAGAGTTGTTATACATAATTAACAATTTCACTTTTATTTGCATTACAGAGTGTGAAAAACAGAATTTCCTATATTAATTGTAAATGAGTGTTCTGGTTACCTAGTGCTACTGACAAGAATATACCACAGATGGGATGGCTTGAACAAACAGGAGTTTATTCTCTTACAGTTTGGAGACTTTAAGTTCCGAGTTCAAAGTGCCAGGCTCTAGGGGCCGGGTGAAAGCCCCTCAACCTTGGGCTTCAGCTCTGCCTCCTGCTCTCGGCCCACTGAAGCTGGAGGCTTTTCTTCACTCAGATAGCTGCTGGCTGCTGAGCCTGACAAACCCAAGGTTGACAATTGAAAAGGCACAGTCCCAATGTTACCAAACCACATGGCAGGCCATTAATTCAAGCCCATTAAAGGTCCCAAGGTCGGCAGGCTGCTGAACAACGATATGGCTACATGCAAGGTTCAAGTATGCCATAAGTTAGAAATCATTCCCAAAGCTATTTCTTATATACGGGAAGCAGACCACATACCCAAAGCAGCTGCTCAGCTACTCCAATAGATTCCACCATGGAGTTAATTACCAGTCTCACCATGGAGTTAATTACCAATCTCACCATGGGGAATAACTACATTCAGCTACCCAGCTACTGAACTAGGCCCAGCCAAGTTGACACACAAACTTAACCACCACAATAAGCTTCCTGTTACAGATATGAAAAATCTGATTAGGATTTTAAGAGTGATAGAATCACAACTAGAATCTAAATATACTTACTCTGTATACTGAGGTCGCATTTTCTTTATGGTAGGCATAATATCTATTCCATGCACTTTACAAGGATGCTCTGAAGCTAAAATGAGATAATGCATCTGGAACTACATTGAACTCCTAGAAATTAAAAACTAAGGGAGATAGTATAAATTTTACATGCATTTTTATGATTTTTGTTTCTTTTTTGTAGACATTATTAGAAGCTCTGACTGTGGCCGCTGTTGGTAAGCTGTAATTGTGCTACTATATCTTAGAGTATCTTGTTAATGTGAACACATCCTTAGGGAAAAAAGATGTTTGGGGCTATAGCATAGCATCATGGAGTGTTACATTTAAAAAATATGGCATAGGAGGAAGAATTCTTAAAATACAAGCAAAAGTCAAAATGTTTATACTTTACACAGTTCAGTTTAGCTTGGAGACAGTGGAAAAGAATAAGGAAAATAAGAGGAATAAAGAACAGCATTTCATCTACATTTATCCATTTGTCAAAAAAAAAAAAAAAATTATAGCTAGTCTTTTTCCTAATTTAAAGGGATGTAATGGAAACTGAAAACATGTGATTTGAGCCATATATTTTGGTCACATGAGTTTTGCCCCTTGAAGGATCACCTGCATTGAACTGGGCTTTAATGTTTATCCTCATATTTTATCACCTGGCACCATAAAAAACAGTGGTAATTCTTCTTTCTGTGTTTAGTGTTAAGCATCTATTTGAAGGCATGTATCTTTTATAATAACTCGAGGTACCCTATGCAGTGTCTAAGTAAATTATTTATTCTGATTGTCTCAATGAAATAGTTAACTGTGTCTGCCAAAAAAGTCCAAAGTCGGCTTTTACACTCAATAACAGTAGATTGTTAATCCTTATGGTATTATATTTATATATTTTTATTTTTTGTCATTACTGTTTTTACTTTTCTCTCCCAATTTTATGGAATCTATAGATTTTGGTAACCCATTTATTCCTTTTTAAAGAGTCAGAGTATGTATAAATAGTAATAAATACTAAAAAATAAATACTAAATAAATCTGAAAATTCTCAACTTAGAGTATTATTGTTTACTTACCGTTAATTTTATTAAGTCCATCTTCTGCCTCCTCCCTCACTTGACATGTATAAGCAATATAAGAGATTTGTTTCAGTATTAATACAATTTTGTGGCATAATCTGAGAAATCACTTTTGTCATTAATTGTAACATCTTTTTCTGCCAGGTTGTATACTGAAATTTCTGACAGTTTTCAAAACTTACTGTTCTGAAAAATAAACTTACTGTTTATTTTTTCTGTTTTCACCTTCCTACTCCTATAATGACATAAACAGAGAAATTCTAGTAATGAATCACTTAGGAATAGAAATAACTTGATTAATCTCTGAAAAATTAAAAATTACTGGTTTTGGGTTCAAAGCATTTAACCTCCTTTTAAAAGGTTGTAAGTTATCTTTCTGCTAAAGTGTTAAGCAGTTATACCACTACAGCCAGAGTTAATCTAGATGGTCATTCTCTAAAATTACAGAAGGGGATTTAGTACAGAGTCAGTACCGAATATCAATCCTACAATAATACATTCCAAGATAATGCAGATTTGCCTATAAAGCAATTAGTGGTTGGTATCTATCCTCTGCAGGATTGGGGGATGTCAGTCATCACTATTTTTCTTACCCAGTTCCCTTGAATCAGACTGATGAACTGAGTGGCAACTAACCAGGTGATTGCTAGAATCTCTGCTACTATCCAACAATTCCCAGCCAGCCACATGATGCAGAATAATCAACTACTAATAATTAAGCCATAATGGATACCACTACAGGTGGTGATAAAGAACAGTTGAGACAGAAGTCATTGAGAATTATTGTTATATCACTAAAACTCCTGACTAGCTGTGCAATATTTTGCATTCATTTCATTAACTTCATAATAATATGACCCTTATTTTGTATGATTGAATTTTCTGGAGCCTCTTTTTGCATTATGGGCTTATACCAGTCAGTATTCAAGGCTGAGTAAGGAATCTTTCCATAATTGTTTTTATTAGCAGGTAGTATAGGAGAGACAAAGCATTTCTGTTAAACACCAGAAAGAGCTGTTTTTTTATTGAGTGTATTTGTATGTTGTTGTTGTCGAGTCAGACCTGACTGACTCATAGTGACACCTCCTTGGGTTTCCAAGGCAGTATCACTACAGAAGTAGATTGCCCAACCTTCCTATATGGGGAGCTCTGGTAGCATAGTGGCTAAGACACTTGCCTGCTCACCAGATGGCTGGCGGTTCAAGCCCACCAACCACTCCTCGGAAGGAAGGTTGGGCAGTCCTACTTCCGTAGTGATACTGCCTCGGAAACCCAAGGAGGGGTCGCTATGAGTTGGGTTTGACTTGACGGCACATAACAACAACAACACATATTTATATGCATTTTAACTTAATGTTTTAATTTTACAGTTACTTTCTATGATGTATATGTTATTCTACAAGCATTTATACTGACTACTGCAGTATTTTTTGGTTTGACTGCATATACTCTACAATCTAAGAGAGATTTTAGCAAATTTGGAGCAGGGTAAGTTATGTATTTTGGGCTATAATACATAGATGTCTTTAATATTAATCAGTTTTAAGAGAAATGCCATGCTGTTATCTTTGGGTACAGACTTTTAATGGTGGGCAATGGGAGATCATCTCTGAATACTGGGGCCAGGTCCTACTCTTTCCCAGAGCATACAGGTAATGGGAAGTGACTTTATGTCTTCTGATTGCGCTCTCTAGTGAGAAGGAAATGAATGCCAAACAGACTTCTACAGATGCTAGACTTGGCTGCTATATGAAGGGTGTGAAATTTACCCAAAATATTTAGGCTTTTGTCTTAGTATAAATGCTGTTAAGACCATCCACATCTTTGTGGAAGAAGCAAGGTAATTCTTCCAGGTGTTGGAGATGTATGTATGAACTTCAAAATTTTTTCAATCCATCCAGATTAACCTGCATACTTCTTCAAACAAACCAACAAATCCATGGAATGATCCTTTTTGTATTAGGAAAACGGTACTCTGTTGCCCTCACGTGGTAGGAATGCATAGACTCTTAAGTTCCCAATGGCTTCCTGTTGGCCCACAATCATCCAACCATTTTCTGTCCTTTTTCCTGTTTCAACACTAGAATTGTCCAGACTGGCATTGCAACACTTTCTTTTTTTCCCCTTATTTTTATGGTAACTCAGATGACCAGAATTCTATATTGGGGAAAAAATGTAGTTGGTCAGCCAATACTGACCATTTGTTGTGCATCCTGCTTAAATAGTTTTATTAGAATGGAGTTTGAGTTAGGAAGAGGCAGTATTTCTTTTTGAAGTAGTATTTTATACATATTTTTGTAATGCCTATGATGAAAGGTTTGCTCTTGCTTCCTCTTCTCAGCCCTTTCCTCCTGTTGTCCCCCTCACCCCATTCATTCTAACATACTCTCTAGGAACTCCTGTTCTGGTAAATAATCTCTTCTGTATTTCAGTCTCTTCATAATATGTTCTTTTTCCTTCTACTCCCTGAGAACACTGTCCTGTAGCTGCTGTTTTATATTTTGTTTAGTTTTTAGTTAAGAAGGGAGGGTAAATTTGGCCCTAGTTACTACTCCCTTGTGACCTGAAGCAGCAGCAGAGAAGTGTATGTGGGCTCCAGAGTTCTGTATTTGATAATGAAGGACTGACTTCTTAGATATCCTTTGTCATGTTATTATACTTTATCTATAACAACTGAATGGTAACTCACAAAAGTGTAGCAGTGGCAAATTTATGTGCATAAATTAAGTTTTATAATAAATAAAGATAGGAGCTCTGGTAGCGTAGTGCCTAAGGCACTTGACTACAAACCAGAAGGCTGGCAGTTCAAACCCACCAGCCACTCCTCAGAAGGAAGGCTGGGTAATCTACTTCTGTAGTGATACTGCCTTGGAAACCCAAGGAGGGGTCGCTGTTTGTTGGGTCCGACTCAACGGCACATAACAACAACAACAATAATACATAAGGATAGACTGGAAAGTACCCAGGGGAACTTCAACGGATATGCATGTTCTTAGAATAACTTTTTATTATTATTTGGTTTAAAAAACAATTATGTTTCATTTGTTCATATTTTTTCTAGAAGGTTTTATAGTTTTCTGAATTAAAATTTATCTTGTGATATATGTGCTTATATCAATATTTTTTTTCAATTAAAAACTTTAAAAATGATACTTTTAACTAGTTTTGTAAACCTTAAAAACAAATGTTGCATAGACAGCTATGTTTTCAATTTCCTAAAATAATAATTCATCCAAAATGGGTACTGCATAGCACTCATTGTATGTTTATGAATTCTTACATTTTAATTATTCTTTGGTAAAAATATGGATGAGTTTCCTTTATAAGGCTCTTTGTTTTTTCATGTGTGAATGGACTTACAAAGATTTTTGTAGCAGATAATATTCTATATTAATATTTTGTTTTTATAGACTATTTGCTGTTTTGTGGATTTTGTGCTTATCAGGATTCTTGAAGGTAAGTTGAAAAATAATTCTGACTATGTCAGTACAAGTAGTCCCCAACTTAGGATAGGATTTGTTTTGGACGTAAGTTGAATAGTGTGTTTGATTTTTGTTTTAGTTTTCATTACTACTGCTTTTTATCATCAGTATCTTTATAAATCTGATCTTTATTTATCCTTGAGGCTTGGAAACATTAAATATAAACTTTAGTTGTTGTTGCTGTTATATGCTGTGGAGTTGGACCCGACTCATAGAGACCCCTCCTTGGGTTTCTGAGGCAGTAACACTATGGAAGTAGATTACCCAACCTTCCTTCCAAGGAGTGGCTGGTGGGTTTGAACCACCAGCCTTCTGGTTACCAGTCAAGTGCCTTAGGCACTGTAAAACTTAGATATTTTAATCCACATATTAAAAAAATACACAAATCATAAAAAGTTATTCCAACAATGGATATTAACAATAGATGCTTCTGACAGTATGAAACACTGAATAAGATATGCTATAGGCTTGGTCTGCAGTAAAGTCAGCATCATAATAGCTGCGGTGCATAAGCAAGTTCAATTGTCGTATGTTGTTAACAGTTGAATATTGTCCAATTTTCTATCTAATATTACTCCTAACACCAAATTGACAATGACTTTATAGTATACCAGGCCATAGCTTCCTATATAGCAGTGTGTTGAACAGCAAGTCATAAACATTGAACATCTGTGAGGGAACATTTAAGAATGATAACATGAGCACATCACTTGCTGCAACACTGTATATAGTACATATTACCAATGATAAGATGTACCCCCCCAAAAAAAAAACCAGATGTTTGTAAGTGTGGTTCATTGTAACTCAAGTATGTAATAAGTTGGGGACTACTTATATAGTAATCTCAATAAAGCTGTAATAGGCACTCTTTTTTTTTTTTTTTTAATTCTTATTGTGATTTGGGTGAAAGTTCACAGAATGAATTGGTTTTCCATTCAACAGCTCATACACATTTCGTTTTTTGACATCGATTACAATCCCCACAATACAACAGTACTCTTCCCACTTCCTCCCTGTGGTTACCACTTCCCTTTGTCCATTTTTTCCTCTCTCTTCCTGCCTTCTGAGCTTTATCCCTAGGCAAATGCTGCCGCTTCTGATCTCTTAGGTTTGATTGTTCTAAGTAGTACATACCTCCCTGGTGTTACTGTTCACTTCATAGGCCTGTCTGTTGTTTGGCTAAAAGTTGACCCACAGGAGTAAGTTCAGGTACAGGCCTGAAGGGTGACTAAGAGCTAAAGTCTTGGCAGTTCCATCAGTCTCTATTATCCCAGCTAAAAAAAAAACCCAAACCCACTGCCAGAGTCGATACTGACTCATAGTGACCTATAGGACAGAGTAGAACTACCCCATAGGGTTTCCAAGGCTATAAATTGTATGGAACTAACTGTCTCATCTTTCTCCAGTGGAGCTGCTGGTAAGTTTGAACCTCTGACCTTTTGATTAGCAGCTGAATGCTTTAACCACTGTGTTTTTATTATTTTGAGATTTGTTCCACATTTTTCTCCCACTCTATCCAGGATCTCCTGTGTGATCCCTCTCAGAATGGTTAGCAGTGGTAACCAGGCACCATCTAGTTCTTCTGGTCTCAGGGTCATGGAAGCTGAGGTTCATACAGTCCACTAGTGTCTTGGACTAACTGTTTCCATGCATCTTTGATTTTCTTCACTCTTCTTTGAGTTAGACAAGGAGAGACCAATATTTGCACCTTAGATGGCTGCTTCCAAGCTGTTAAGACCCAATTTGCTACTCACCAAAGTAGGATGTACAACAATGTGTTTGTGGACTATATTATGCCAGTTGACCTTGATGTCTCCCACAACTATGGTCCTGAGCACATAGGGCCAGCAACCCACTCCCTCAAGGTGTTTGGTTATGGCTAAGAAGTTTTCATAATTTTGCCTGTTAGCTTTACTATATACATGGACACATGGACAGTTTTACAACATATACATATACCAGAAAAACCTAATGCATTGCTGGCTAGTCAATTCCAACTCATAGCAACTCCCTTTATAGAAGTTGATTGTCCCATCTTCCTTCCAGAGGAGATGGTAGGTTTGAACCACCAGCCTTCTGGTTAGTAGTCAAATGCCTTACGCAGTGTGCCACTAGAGCTCCTTTCTATGGAGGACAGTTAGTTCTAATTATGTGTAAAATTCATATATAAATGGTTATAGAATAATCTTTTTATAGAATCAAGAACTTAGGTTCATCAATGTTCCTGATTCAAAGATGAACAAATGAGTTAAATCACAAAGAAAGAAACCCTTCCTTGTAATTATCTACCTCCAGATGGCACATTTAATTTTGAAAAAGAAATATATATCTAAATAATTTATATTTGAATGCTGCTGTTCAAAGTCATGTGTGTGGTTTAATGGAAAAAAGCTATTCATCTATTCATTTACCTAGTCACCCTTCCATCCAAAATGAAGCAAGGGTGGCTCTACCTTGCCTTTTTCTGCTTTTAACATTTATATTCAAAGTAGTACACCAATATTAAATAGATATGTAGCGACAGATCAATGCAGCAAGTAATCTAAGTACTCTTATTATTGTTCTCAAATATGAACTTATTACTGTTGCCTATAGTTATTTTTTTATAGTGAGACACTGGAGCTGGTCTTGGCTGCTGGGGGAGCCCTTCTTTTTTGTGGATTCATCATCTATGACACTCACTCATTGATGCACAGGCTGTCACCTGAAGAGTATATATTGGCTGCCATCAGTCTTTACTTGGATATCATCAATTTGTTCCTGCACTTGTTGCGTTTATTGGAAGCAGTTAATAAAAAGTGATTGAAGCAATGTATAGAAACTGTTCTATTAAGTCTTAAAAGTTTGAGATATAATTAAATATTAAATACTTTCATGATCTTTATTTGTACTCTGGAGGTCAAATATCAAAATTCTGTCTTTTTTTTTAAATCTTAAATGTGCCAAACATAGATTGTTCATTTGCACTTCAAAAATAATTTCATGAATAGATGAGATTAAGAATATCAGTTTAATTTTGTTAAATGACTTAATTTCTTCCTTAGTTAATATTAGATTTCATTATGATTCTAAAATACTAGTGTCTTTTACTAGTGTAAGTGTCAATCTACTTTTACTAGAAGATTTGTATCTTATTTGGAAAAAAATATAAACGATAAATTCCACAGAAAATTATTCAGTATTAAAATGTTAATGGCATTTCATTATAATGTATTAAAGATTAAAGGTCTGCTTTAAAATCAGGCATTATGACATATAAAATTTGATTTTAACTATTTTTTAAGTATGTTTCACTTTAAAAATTATAACATTCTCATGTGCTTAGACCAAAAGAAGAAACCAAAGCCACTGCCATCAAGTTGATCAGACTCGTAGTGACCCTATAGGACTGAGTAGAACTGTCCCATTGAGTTTCCAAGGCTGTAAATCTTTATGGAAGCAGACTGCCACATTTTTTCTCCTGCAGAGGAACTGGTGGGTTTGAACCTCCAACTTTTCGGTTAGCAGCCAAGCATTTTAACCACAATACCACCAGGGCCTCTCATGTAGTTAGGGACCCCAAAAATACTCACTCCTCCTTAGTAATATTTATCAGAGGCTCAGCTATTTATATGTCATTAAATATATACATTTCAAAATAAAAATATTTCAAAAATGGTGTTTTGTGGTTTCATTTGTGTTGGGGCACATAGCGGGCTGGGTCAGTATACCAGCAGCAAGTGAAGCTTTGGCAAATTCCTTCACTAAGCACCATTTCCCAGTTGGTAAACTGAAATAAGTACTACAGGTTTAGCTTCCAGAGATTTTTAGATCTAAGTATGGCTCCCTCCTCACTTATCAATTAATTGTTGAAGACCCTAATATGCATAACTCTATACTCAAGTTTAACCAGCACAGTTTTTAAGAGCATCTAGGTTAGAATTTGCTATGCAACCATCTGACTGTGATCTTGGATAAGTTATTTATGGTTCTTTATGTAGGTCTTTTGCCTCATGTTTATAATAGGAGTAATATATATTGGGTTGTTGTGTGGATTAAATGAGATAGATATATAAAGTGCTTAATGTTTATTATTTAATTAATACTATTAAAATTTTTAATGTGAAGGCAGAATGGACTGAATTGTGAGTCAAAGACACTACCCAGAAGTAGATTTGATATTTTAGAAATGTAAAACAATGCCATTCTTTTCACTACATTACTTTGGTTTGGAAATGTTATTTTTCATAAATAAATGTTAACATGATATGAATTTATCACTTTCAGATTTTTAAAAACTCAGTTTTAATTTCTAATGATGAATGTAATTTTTAAGAGCATAAAGGGATCTCAAGAACAAGTTCTGAAACCTGGTGTAAAGTGTTATATTTTATAAATGTAATGTAAGAAGAATGTAATCATGGTTTACATTCTTCTGTCAATGAATGTTTTATGTTATCTCCTTCACTATCACAATCAGTGCTACTGTGTACGTCTCTGTATATGGTTCACTGTACATAGCTGTGAGAGTTTGCCTACGTTGAGGAATAAGCAGAATTGCTAGATAAAGGGCATGTGTAATTTCAATTTTTTACAAGTAGTCTGGTGCAGACTCCAGAAATACTAACATATGGAATTTGCAGGGCTTGGACAGAGCCACAGGCAACTCAATGTATAAAGGACAAAGGAAGAACCAGCCAGCAAGGTAGGAGGAAAATGAGGAAAGAGCAGTGTCTGAGTACTTTGGTATTTACTGAATGTGATTTGGGTAGAGAGGTGCACTCGTCTCCGTTGTCTGCTTATGTTGCTCTTCTGCAGGCCGCGGACAGGCTTTGACCTACTAAATGCAGTTCTGACGAGGAGTGGTGTCAGCACCAACCACAGGGCTTTTTAGAGCAGTTGGGAACTTTTGTTTCTTTTACCTTTGTAGAGCTTTGTCTTGAAGTGTCTGCATTAGCTTGCATCTGGGTAAGGTGGGGTCACCATCACATTCTGAAATCCCAGAAGCCTTCTTGGTCCTTATTAGGCAGATCAGGGGCTCCATGAGAGAGGCCCGACTACGGGGGATCATAGTATGCCTTTGAGATGAGGAACTAGGCTACCTCCTGCCGGGTATTCAGTGCTACGCAGTGTACCTCCAATTCCATAAACTCCTTCCAACTCTGAAGCCAAAGCAATATCCAAGTTGACCCTTAAACCTCATCCCACCATCAGGGGATAAAGTTTCCTGAAGACAGTAGTTCATCTCTGTATATCTAGTATAAAAACCAAAACCAAACTCACTGCCGTTGAATCGGATCCAATTCATAGCGACCCCTCCTTGGGTTCCTGAAGCAGTACCAAACAGAAGTAAGATTGCCCAATCTTCCTTCTGAGGTGTGGCTGGTGGGTTTGAACCACCAGCCTTCTGGTTAGCCTCAGGCACTATGCCACCAGAGCACCAATATAATGCCTTGATTATCAAAGAGTACATATTAACATATTTGAATGAGGGAATGAATTAAGGATTTTTAAATACACTAAGGAGGCAGTGGTGGTTCAGTGGTACAATTTTTACCTTCTATACAGGTGGCCTGAATTTTATTCCGGCCAGTATGCTTCATGTACAGCCACCAACCACCTGTCAGCGGAGGCCTGTGTGTTGCTATGATGCTGAACAGGTTTCAGCAGAACTTCCAGACAAACAGACTAGGAAGAAAGGCGTGGCAATCTACTTCTGAAAAAAATCAGCCAATGAAACCCTGGATTACAATGGTCTGATCCACTAGTGATCATGGGGATGGCATTTTGTTCCATTGTGCGTGGGATTACCATGAGTTGAGCTGACTCAATGGCAAACAAGAAATATACTAAGACCATTTAACTATTCTGTTAGAACTGCTTTTATACAAACTGATAAGGGATATAAGCTAAAAGAAAATTTCAACAGTGCAGACCATGGTTCAGCTTTGTAAAGCATTAGTAATGATAAATTACAGCATACATTGTTAATGCCATAACATTTTCATAATAGGTAAGTTACTTTCTGGCCCCAGTTATCTATTTAAAAGTCTTGGGTTAATTTGTTTAACAAGATACAGTCAGTTTGGACTACCTGAGAGTGAGCTTTCTCCAATTTCAAAAGCAATGTGTGTATATATATATTTTTGGGAGAAGTGGTTAAATTCTAATTTGAAAAGACTTAGATACATAGTTAACATGTAAAATAAAAATTCACTTCCTCGCTAAGAATTTAACCTCCTATTTAAAGAATCTACTTTCCCGAGTATACTTATTTAAT